GTTCTCGAGCTGAATTGTGCTATTTCTGTTCATCTGCGAGCAGAGCAGACAAGCCACAGCAAGCACAAATAAATTTGCTGTCAGTGAGTTCAACAGATGTCCAGCAAGGTGCTAGCTCCACTTTAGAATTGTCAACAAGATTGACAGATAGATAGCTAACATATTAAATTGTGAAATAAATTTAAGGGGTCCTTTCCTGGATGTGAAACATTTCAATTTTATTTTATCTACAGAGAAAGCTGTAAGTTAAGATGGTTTAGGGTTAGGCACATCAATGAACACAATGGCTCTGTGCTTTGAACTGGAATCTCCCCTGCCCCAGTAATGCTATCTTCATAAATATCTTACAAGGGAGGAGCAGGTGATGTTTTCAGGCTAGGAATATATTTGGTATGTTAAGAGTGGTTACCATGACAGAGATGCCTACTCATAAAATGGACATAGACAGTCACAAAACATTATTTTTTTCAGAAGAGATGTCTCATTCTTTTCTATATTATCTCATTGGCCTTTATGGCCTTTAAAAGATGGCCTCCATCTTTTGCACAGGGGTCTCTAAACTTGGCAACATTAAGAGTTGTGGATTTCAACTCCTAGAATTCCTCAGCCAGCCATGAATAGTATTGCTATATCTGAGTCGTAGGGATATTATCAAGCCAGTTTTATGAGAGGGTTTGTGTTAAATCGATACCTTCCTTAATATTGATAACTGTTTTCCTGGTTCAATACTTAATTGGTTGTTATTTTATTGTGTTGTTTCATTGAACTAGTTGTAAGTTGTGATTACTTTTGACAGCAAATAAAGAAGTAATACTTGGCATTTTCCAACATGCTAGCTTTGCTTTTTTTTGTAAAAAAATAGTTTTGTCTAGGATGGGCAGTAAGGGGACATGTCCTGGGTACACTATTACCACAGGTATCATATTCCTAATTCCTACCATGACTGATAAAAAGTCTTAGAGTGGAGACTTTAAAGTAAAGTATAATGTCCTTTTCTTTTTCCCTCCAAGAAGGTGTGGTACAAATCAGTATTAAACATACTGTCAACACTGCAACAATCTTGGCTGAAGCCATTTTTGCTTCGTTTTTGGTTGTCATAGTAATGGAAAGGGGGATGAGTGGTTTTAAGAGTTAGACTAAACAATAAATTGTTCCATGGGAACCAAAGTTATTACTGCCTGATTTTTGGTGGACTGAGCCTTCCGCTAGAAAGTCCGCCAAAGTATTCTATTGGGGAACATAGATAATGACATAGTGCTGGGGTGGGAAGTTCAACTTTGTAACATTGTAATGCTTGGGAGGAAACTCCAGATTTGGTTTCACTTTTGACTGTGCCGATACTTTGTAGCCAATAAACATGTTCTTTAAGGAAACCTCTTGCCTTGGAGTTCTACTTTTATTGGTCTCATCTATCCATGATACATACTATGATACATACATTTTCTCCTGCATCTTTCTGGCATATCTTAAAAATACTTCAATAATTCTACAAGAAGAAACAATAGTAGATTTCCCTCCCATCATTTATATTGAATTTTTAAAGGTGGAGAAAAATCAAACGTATTGGCATCTGGTTGTATTTTATGCTGATATGTAATTGCCTATTCACTAGGGAGACAATTTTCTCATTGATGTTTTATGAAGTATTTGGGGAACAGATTAAGGTAGTTAATCCTGAAGCCATCATCCTAGCAGTTATGTTCTAAATGCAGTTATATAGAAGCTGATCTATGAATTTTGATGAAAGCTATCTCTTTTGGGTCTTTTATGTGACACTGTTCTTTCTTAAATCCATATCAATAATTGTGAAAGAGAGGCAGTAGTGAATTATTGTGGAATAGCAATTAGAAATATCAGTACTATATACATCTAATCATACCATACATTCAAGAGCTCCCTGCCCCATTTATACTATGTTTTGTATAAACACATATGAATGGAATAATTAACATGTAAATGTGTGAGAGACAGTATATGTTCACTGAAAAGTATTAAGAGACAATCTCAACTCATGGACACTGGTGTGTTTTTGTCAATAAACTTATATAGGCACATCCATGCAATGGAATAACAATGGAAAAGTGGATTGTCACTGTTCTTTTCCATCTGATCTGGCTTCAGTCATGGGACATCCTGGTGGTCTCCAATTCAAGTTCTAATGAAGTCCAACCTTGCTTAGCCCACTCAGCCAAGGTTGGCTAGCTGCTGTTACTTGCTATGATGTTTCAATTTTTGAGTATTTGCAATAGAAATTGTGGTATTCTTAATCTCCTCTGACATTACACTTTTTATTCTTTCCAAGAAAAAGGGATGTTTGAAAGGAATTATGTAAAGGAGTTTGGGATGCAATCCATGTTTCCATCATCAGGGTAACTCCCTGAAAACAGAACAGAAGAAGGCCACATTTTCTGTAGCAGGAAAAGCTTGTAGAATAATGTTCAATTTCAAAAATGGACTGTACATGTTCAGGGGTGGCAGGAAAAAAAATTGCCCCAATGAACCCTGAGAGAGAGAGAGAGAGTTGAATAGTCAACTGGTATGTTGTTGACTTTCCATTCTAATCTGTTCTGGGGCTATTATTTAAATGGTTTGCAAGGTTTGGAAATAATTCCAGGAGCCATGTTCTACATTATTTCTTCTACTTGCTTCAGTTTGGGGATAATAATATATCTTTTCCAACTCCTTGGCAATGGCTGTGTTTTCCATCTTTTTCTTATAAATCAAAACTAGCATCTTAATTGCATCATCTTATCACTTTGTAAACTATTCTACTGGTATCTTGTGAACTCCTACAGCTTTGTTGCTACTGATATTTTCTAGGGCCCATTTAACTTCTGGTTCCAAAATTTGTTGCTGTATTTTAGCAATCAAATCTTCAGATATAGCATTGATTTGAGGAAGGTTTTTTTTTCTATAGTTCTTTCTATTATTTGCACCATCCCTTATTTATATCTTCTTACTCTTTATATCTTTGCCTTTTTATCTTTTCATTCCCCACATCATGGAAAGATTTTAATATTCCATAAAAGCTTCCCTTGATTTCCGCAATTTTCTTAAATTAATCTTTTGCCCTTCTTTTCTATTATTAGTTTCATCGCATGGCTGATTTAGACTGTGATGTTGCTTTTTGTTCTCTCCAGGACTCAGCATTTAATTGGATAGATTTTTCTCTCTCTTTTTGTTGCTTTTTGCTTTCTAATGTTGTTGAACAATTTTCACTATGTTAGTAGAGAGCCATTTGCCATCTTTTCCTCTCTCTCTCTCTCTCTCTCTCTCTCTCTCTTTGCATTTCAGAACATTTTTATTTGCTTCGTCTTTAGTGATATCATGCATTTCAAAGTAAGGTTCCGCAGGTAGACTGTTTATTAAATCTTATCCACATAATCTGTGTTTTTTTTTACCCTCACCTTATGAATGTAAAAATGAGGTAACCTCTTTCTGGTCTGAGGATTTTGTCTGCCTAGAAGCTGTAAATCTGCAAGGGGTTAGTGATCTGAGATGGTCAGCATCCAATCTTTGGTTTTTGCTGACTGAATAGAGAAGTAGGGGGGAGACAATTGAGAATGATGGGAATAAATTGATATTGATAATTAAGGGGGCAATATCTAGAATGTATGTGCAATGATAAATACACATAAAGGAATAGAAATTAAAACTTCCAATTCATAGTAGGCTTGTTTGTTTGTTTGTTTAATATACAATCTGTGTTGGTGTTGTCAGCAATCTTCGATTACACTTGTTTCTCGATTACCTTCTCATGCTTGTTTTCCCATCTTCCTGCTGTTGATCTAAGACTAAGTCATCACCGTACCAGTAGGAATTCCAGCCCTTTCTAAGGTTTTTCAGTGAGAGCATTGCTGCTATCTAAAGTGAACTGGGCTATGCTTTGAGGAGCCTGTTGTAAGAAACAGTCTTGAAGATAATTAGATATAATAACCATGTGTGCCTGAAGCACCATCACATCCCCTGCATATCAAAAGCTGCCTTGATGTTTCATTTATACCCATTAGAAAAGCAACCTTGTAGAGCTGAGACCTAGCCAATGCTCAGAATAACAAATGTGCAAGAGAAAGAGAAAGAGAGAAGGAAGGAAGGAAGGAAGGAAGGAAGGGAGGAAAGAAGGAAGGAAGGAAGGGAGAGAGAGAGAAAGAGAGAGAGAGAGAGAAAGAAAGGAAGGAAGGAAAGAAAGAAAGAAAGAAAGAAAGAAAGAAAGAAAGAAAGAAAGAAAGAAAGAAAGAAAGAACATAGTATCCCTAGATGTGAGGGAGATGAAAGTTAGTGATAGTACAATATAACACACTCCCCAATAATATCTGGTTAGGGCATAAGTGTATTCAGATCAAATAGTTTATTTTATTCTAGCTGTAGTTCCCCCCCCCTCACAGTGCTAACTTAATGTGAGAACAGAGACAGAAAATAGTTATACAGCATACTGATTAGTAGCAGAAACAGTTATTTAATTTTCCCCATGCTACTTTTCAAATGAATGCTATTCAGGGTATTTTACCTACAAGTTCTTTCCATCTCAATAGGAGATGATCTGGTGAAATTCATATGGAAATGATAAGAGGTTTGAAGCTGAGGAGGCTCAGGGCAGGGCATCAGTGCTGGCTTCCTGATATTTCAAGTCAACAGAAGCCAGTTCAAATTCCAAGTTACTTCTGGCAATTGGGCAAGAGAGAAAATACTGGTGGTGTGGCAGGTACAGAAGACTTCCTGTTGTAGAGCACATCTGTACTTCCCCCTTCTAGCAATGGGGGCACCTTGATAAACCTTCATTAAGGATGTCAACCCATGGTGTTATTCCCAACCTGTTTCTACCCCATTGTGAAGGCATGACCATAGTAAAGCCATGACTTTGTATGGTTTTACCAGAGTAGCAGGTGATGAAAGGGAAAGATGACTCCTTTTGATGCTAGTCTTCTATTGCCATAGAGCAATCAGATAACTGAAAGCCAAAGTATTGCATCTATTCTTCTTCTTTTCTCTTTTCTTGCCAGGAATGACAAGAGAGAATAGAAGAGCGAAGCAGGGAAAGAAATGGCACAGCATGATTCTTTCAATGTCAATCCTCCAACCCCACAAACTGATCATTCTGTTGGACAGGAAAACTGACAGCCAAAATCCTGTGAGTCTTCTGCTATCAATCAAGGGGCACCAAAGAAGGTATTCTCCACCCCACCAGCTTCTTCTTCCTCTCATAGAGTCAGAACCCTTTTTGTGCTTCATTGCCAAGATAGAATGGATGCAAGTTTGTGCAACATTTCTTTAACTCAGAATGCTTTTCTACCAGCCCTTGCGCTGGATGTTAGCACTTTACTAACCCTATGCAGAAGAGCCCCTATCATTTGGGAGTGAACCCAACTGAGTACTGGAGGACTTAGTTCTGAGTAAATACATATAGAGGATCCTAGAACAAGGAACAGTTTGCTAAATCACTATGACCAAGTAGCTCTCCAGCAGAAAGCAGCAGAGCTACTTTCAGTTGCATGTTGTATGTACATAGGCCAGCATAAAATTGATATTTTTTGTTTGTTCCACGTACTATTCTTAAATGTGTAGGAAATAGGATTGGAAAGAGCAGAGGAGTTTTTAGAGACATGATATCTCAGCTGATCACAAATGTATCATCCTGACTATTCCTTGTAAGAACTAGAACTTGGGGGGGGGGAATGACTTTTCTTCTATCCTAAACTATGACTACTGATGCAATGTTTGATTTGGAAAATGTGAATTTGAGCACAAGGAAGCCGCTGAACTTTTGGTCACACCAGGAAACTTACTGCAACATATTCACTCAGTATGCATCTCTTTCTCTGTGTGTAAAAATAATCACTCACAGGGTTTTGCTTGAGGTGATCAAGCACTTAAGTCAGACTGTCACACTGAAGCTGTGCAATTAAAGTGATTGCTTTAATGACCATTTTCCCTTGTGCTACTCTTGACTGCTAACGTGATGTGGCCAAAAGCCTACTGATTTCTGAGGATTGAGGATTGAAGAAATTGCTAACAGTACACTGGATACTAAGATGATATAATTTACTATGCAGAGATAGTTTCCAAAACTTTGGTTGATTCTTAAGGGGAAGAAAGACAATTGAAGACAGTTAAAGAGCGACAGAAAAAAAAATGAATTTGCCCTAAGAAAAACTTAAGTTCACATTCAGGCAATACCTAGTAATAGGGCAAAATCAAGGTCACAAAACAGTGTGCATGCAATTGTATGCAAAATGACAATATTGCAATTGTTGCCTATTTTGTCACTGATTCAAGTCCAAACATTTGGACTTTGACCTCATTTTTACTTTAGCTTCCTGAATGCTGAAAAGATGAAAAACGGAATAGCTTGAAAAGCAGACAACTATTAGCTAAATGTTGCTTGAGTAATCTCTGAGACTTGTGTTAGTTTGGTTCTCTTCAGAGGGAAAAAAAAAATCAAATACTACACATACATCCAAAACTGCCAATAGTAAACTTGCAATGGGCCACAAGTTTCTATATGAGTTAATCAACAGCAGCTCATGCATCTTCACCCTTAATGAATTTTTAAAGACAATCTCTGTTTTTAATCCCAGAAGAGCAATGCTTCATTTATTATCGATATTAATATTTTATGTGGAAGTTTGATGCTTAAATATACTGCTAATGGAAGGTTTACATTCTTAGTCTGGAGCATAGCTTGAAATGATGAAGATGAGGATAACGGGCATGATAATACATTTATCACTATCACACAAGACTAATAATTGCAGTTTTACCTCTGTTCATCTGAACTACCTTTCTTCTAGTGAAGTTTCACAGGCAAAGAAAAAAACGACTTACATTCAAGACAGATGATTTTGAATGGGGGGGGAGAAGGTCTACTGAGGGAAGCTTCCCCATCTTTAACTTTTCTTCCCATTGCTCTTTCTAAAGACCAGAGAAAAATTATAATACATGTTTGCCCATTATGGGCAGCTTTGTACTCAATCAGCTGCACAAAGGTTATTCTTTCAATTTCATATCTCATGAAAGTATGTAATGGATTCTACGCTGGATGGTTCTTTCTCTAACTCATTGCAAATATAGATAACTCAGTCCATTGGTCCTTGGGGGGGGAATTCTGATTAAGGCCGTATATTTGTTTGGGGTTTGATGTATTGTAAACAACTGCTTGTTTCTTCATGCTGCCATGTGCAGTTTCTCTTTTCCTCCTGTTCATCCCAGTACAGAGGATTAAACGTTTTCAGAAATAAAGGGTAAAATAGAACCCAGCAACAGTGCATGCTTTCTAATTAGCTGGCTGTAACGTTTTTATTGCAGGATAGAGAAAATTTTAAGTACTTAATTGTTACCTTGAGTTTGATTATTGTTGTATTTAAGAAACAGGCCATGCAACGGTTCAAGGGGTTGCTTCAGTTTGAGAACGGTCGGAACAAAACACACCTTTGGGAAGCACCCTGGTACTCTTGCTTTGCTCCACTTTGCAGCTGCTCCTCAGCATCACTGCTAAGCGTTAATGCTTCTGGAGAACATGCCACCTAACTTCTGCTGTCACCTTTTTGTCCAAAGGTCTAGTGATTAAGGCACCAGGCTAGAAACTGGGAGACTGTGACTTCTAGTCCTGCCTTAGTCATGAAAGTCGACTGGATAACCTTGGGCCAATCACTCTCTCTCTCTCTTTCAGCCGAATTCACCTCACAGGATTGTTGTTGTGGGGAAAATAGGAGGAGGAAGGTCTACTGGATATGCTTGCCACCTGGAGTTATTTGTAAAAATAATAAAGGTAGGATACGAATAAAATAAATTAAGTAAATAAATAAACTAGTTTGGTAGAAGTCTGTTTGGTGGGGACAGATAGGGACAGGGAGAAGCTTTAAGGCAATCCAAAGGATTTCCTTGGAAAAAAGATCTTGTCACTTCTGCAGCATAGATTGCTTTGTCAAGATGACTAGACTGTCTTGCACAGGTTAGTTAAAGAGAAGCATTTTTGATCTAGCAAAAGGAATGTGCCCAGGAGCAGAGAAAATATAATTTGGCACAGAACATGGGCATTGTGCAGATACAGCGGAAACAGTTCTGCCACTCAATTTTGATGAGAATCAATATTAATTTTCTCATCTGGTCTATTTCACAAGTTTTTATATGTTATTCTGATCCATTGATTTGTTTGCAATAAAACAGATGCATCCGTACATGTTCAAGGAAATAGTTTGATTTTTTTTAGTTCCTAACTTCTCATGAGATGCTCTTCAGACCATCTGCTGTTACATAATGTATCTCCCCCTCCTCCAAATACAGTATTTTTTATGATTTCTTGAATACACAATAACAGAAGTTAGTGGGCTTCTTTAGTTTCTGCTAAGCCATGCATAATGTAATAGAATGCATGTGTTTTTACCATGGAAATCTATCACGGATTGAATGTACAGTGCTATGCAAGACCTATGAGCTCACAATGAGAAAAATAAACAATTAAACAGACCCTTATTATTGCACCCCACTAATTCTTAGAAAGAAGGCATACATGCTCTCTTTGTCTACATGCCCTTGGTAAAATTTACTGGTTTATTTTTATTGGAAATTGTCATCAGTTCATTATGTATTTATTTATAAACTTTCTGAATCATTTGTGTATTATTCTGATTTTTTTTTTGCTAAAAAGACAAAAGATATGCAAAAATTCTCATGGTTTTCATAAGAAAAATAGATTAAAATTAATTCTGGTCTTCACTCATCTGAGGGGAAGGAAAGAAAGAAGGAAGGAAGGAAGGAAGGAAGGAAGGAAGGAAGGAAGGAAGGAAGGAAGGAAGGAAGGAAGGACCCCCTGAACTTGGGAAGATTGAATCAGATACGTTTTCATCAGAATCTGTAAAGCAAACTCCTTGTACCTTTCAGTATGCAACACCCATAAAACAGTGTGAAAAAACTGCTGAAAATTCAGCTTCAGATGATGAAGCCAAGTAAGTTATAGTGAAAACAACCTCAAAAATATCATATGCCAGCAAAACTCTTCTTCAGTCAGTACTCTCTAGTGAGCAGATGTATATTGTTTGAAGATGCGTCTGAGAATGCAGAAGAAGGGAAAGATTAATCTCAGAGAGAGTTTCAATAACTTTTACAGGAGAAAATTGAAGCAATCCTTGAAACATTTCCCCACACGACCTAAGGAGGTAAATTTGCTTTTCTGCTTTTGACTTGAAAAAGCAGGATCTGTGTTTTGCTCTTCAGAAAGAAGGTCTAGCCACCTTCTAAACGTTTCATTTCATCTTCAGCTAGAGCAGGGGTTCTCAACCTTGGCAACTTTAAGACTTGTGGACTTCAACTCCCAGAATTCCTCAGCCAGCTTTGCTGGCTGAGGAATTCTGGGAGTTGAAGTCCACAAGTCTTAAAGTTGCCAAGGTTGAGAACCCCTGAGCTAGAGCTATTAGTAATGCAGTGGTGTTAAAGGATATCCTCCTTACAGTAAGATGCTGAATAACTTCAAAGCCTGAAAGTGAGCTTTCAAATATGGTTTTCTACTGCAATATCAAAAGGGGAAAATGTGTCATGTATTCTCTATTAAATCTGACTGTTTTTGAAACAATCTTGGCAGTACAATTGCTACAGAAATGAAGTCCGGATGTGAACTGCTCATTATTGTTCAAAGAGGAGGCTTTGGCTATTCTTGAGCATTCAATGACGTTTCTCTCCAGCTCATCAGCTCCATTCATTGTTGGCGTTCTTCACTGTTGTCAGAAGGTGAAGTGTGACTCTTATACTGAAAAGGAACTGAATGCTAGAGCTAAATGTCATAAAAGCAAAAAGAGCTTACTAATCCAAAGATAATGAGAGTTCCTTATTGTACAGTATAGGGAAAGGATGTTGCTGGAGAGCAAACACTATAATCAGAGCATGTCTGAAGCACCAAATGACAAAACACAATAATAGTCTAGATGTAATTAAATTTTTCTCCATGCCTGAGTAAAACAAGTTCAGTTTTTAAATTGTTGGCCAGCTGATACATTGGAGTAGGCAAGGCCAGGAGAAGGGAAGAAGAAGAACCAAAGGCCCACCAACATTGCTAACCTACAATTCCCAGCATCCTTCTTTATTGGCAGTGCTGCTTAGAACTGTTGGGAATTGTAGTTCTGCACCATCTGGAAGGCCACCATTTTGCTATTCTTGGGAGTAAGAATACGGATATTCTTTATTGGCCAAGTGTGATTGGACACACAAGGAATTTATCTCTGGTGCATAAGCTCTCAGTGTACATACACATAATAAACTGGTAAGTCATAGATCATAAATCATAGGATACAATCATAAATCGCAAGATACAAACAACAAGTGATAAATAATAAAATATCAATAGGAGAAGGTCGTAGGAAAGATGAGAAGATGAGAAAGAGGAGAAGATGAGAAAAATGAGAAGGATAATAATAGGAATACCCTGTAATACATGGGTAAATATTTTTAGGCATAAGACAGATCTGTGGGAATTAGGTGTTTAGCAGAGTGATGGCATGGGGGAAAATCTCTCTTTGGGTCTAGTTGTTTTGGCATGCAATGCTCTTTAGCAGCATTCTGAGGGGAGAAGTTGAAACAGTTTATGACCAGGATGTGAGGAGTCTGTAGATATCTTCTTAGCCCTTTTTTTTTTGCTACTCTTATGGGCTCAATCCAAACACATTTCTTCTGTTCCTTTTTGTCTTTGAAAACAAAAATGTTAATAATAGCATATTGCTCTCTAGATGTTTGGAACATTGCTTAAATTGGCTTATGTGGCTTGCATTCCTGACTTGTTCCTTAGTGAGACACCTTAGGTAGGATGGCTCAAACATATATTCTGTGCAAAAAACAAAAAACCCCTTATCAAAAGACTCATGTTCCTTCATCAATCAGTTGGAAAATATGTGATAGGCAGAAAGCAAAGTTGGATGATTGAATAGATGTTACCCCTCCTGAGAGTGATTATGGAGGATTACTATAGGAAGTGAAGGATATATTTCTTTCTGCAACAATAATTTATTTACTAGCTCACCTACAAGTTTATTTCAAGGTTTCTCTCTCTTTTGAAAAATCTCCCATTAATGCTTTTGTATGCACTTTGCCTGGATCTCTCTCTTCAATGTTACTCTTCTTCACCACTCTCCCCAATTGTTATGCAGTTTTCTTCAAAGCCTTTCACTCAGACTTTTATCACCATCAAAAGAAGAAAAACCTTCATGCGTTAACTGCAATAGCCTATGTTTGCCTCTTGTTCTTTCCCTTTTACTACTCCATTTAGATTTCATCTGCGACACCTCACATATGTGGCTTTGATTTCTCAAGACAAAATTAGCTTATTTTCCCTCACCTCATCTTAACCCAAATTTCTACATATTTTGGGAGTCGTTACATATAACAGGGAATAGGGAAGCAAGAATATGGACATACTGTACTTGTTAGATGTATATCTGCCTTTTCTCCAGGAAGTTCCAGGCAATGTTCATATTCTTCCCTTGCCCTATAACAAAATTCCAGTGTGATTGATTGGGCTGAAAAGTTACAAAGTCCCACAGCAAACCTCCTTTGAGGTAAGAATGAATTTGAGCCTGAGTCTTTATGATTCTATCTCATCTTAACTATAGCTCCATATTTGTTACAGATTGGAGGATGGAGGTTTCATTATAGAGTCCTTCCATGAGAGAGATGAGCAGTTTCTAAATGTGACAAATAAATAAATAAATTCAAATTATTGGTTTGTCTAACTATGTATATCATCTCTTTTTACCTTTCTGAGATGTTTGCTGAGTTTCAAGGCCTGAACCTTGCACTTTCAAGAAAAAAATAATGTATTCTACCCTAATTTATAGATAGGACCCTCATTGGAAATTGATTAATAGGTATAGTAGATATATCAGCACTCAAAAGAAACAAAAAAGCTGTGGAATATGTCAACAAAGTTTCCAAAAGGTGGCAACTAGAAAAAAAGTCATGGGATTTTGTTTTTATCTATGACCCTGCCAACAAAAGTGCGTATAGTCCAGGCCATGGTTTTCCCAGTTGCAATGTATGGCTGTGAAAGTTGGACCATAAGAAAGGCTGGGCGCCAAAGAATTGAGGCCTTTGAACTATGGTGCTGGAGAAGACTCCTGCGAGTCCCTTGGACTGCAAGGCGTTCAAACCGGTCAGTCATAGAAGAGATCAACCCCGACCTGAAGTTGAAACTCAAATATTTTGGCCACCTAATGAGAAGGAAGGACTCACTGGAGAAGGGCCTAATGCTGGGAAATATTGAAGGCAATAGAAGAAAGGGATGACAGAGAATGAGGTGGCTGGATGAGGTCACTGAAGCAGTAGGTGTGAACTTAAATGGACTCCAGAAGATGGTAGAGGACAGGAAGACCTGGAGGAACATTGTCCATGGGGTCGCGACGGGTCGGACACGACTGCGCAATTAACAACAACAACAACAACAATGATAACTATAGTGCAATTATTATACAGGTAGTCGTTGACTTATAGCCATATGTTTAATGACATTTTGAAGTTACAATGGCACTGGAAAAAGTGACTTACAACTGATCCTTGCACTTATGACGACCATAGAATCTCCATAGTCGTGTGACCAAACTTTGGCTGCTTGGCAGCCTGCAAGTATATATGATGGTTGGTATCCCGTCCTCATGTGACTGTTGTTTGAGACCTTCCCAGGAGGCTTCTAACAAGCATAATGGGGAAAGCTGGATTCACCTAATGATGGCATGATTCTCTTAATGACCACATGATTAAGTCATTAATGATCATTAATAATCATACAGTCATTAAGAGAATGATGCAGTGATTAAGTCATTAATGACATAATGACTGCATGATTCTCTTAATGACTGCACGATTCATATAATCACTGTGGCAAGAAGGGTCATAAAATCAGACATGACTCATTTAACAATCACACTGTTAGCAACGGTTCTGATCCCACTTGAGGTCATAAGCTGAGGACTATATGTATCCTCAAAAGTAGAAAGGTTTCACATTACTTCACAACAGCTAGTGAAGATGATGGAACTTGCAGACGAAGTTCCTTGATTAGAGAAAAGACAATATCTACATTTATGACTGATGGGAAATTATTATGGGCTTTTTGCGTGAAACAGAAAAATAATGCACTAAGAATTTGTGGTTTTAATAACTAAAGAAAAACAAGGATAATTGAAAAGTATGAGTTTTTGTAATCATAGAGTATAACATAAATTTGTAATCATATTTGTAGTTGCTGCAAAAGAAATGGGAAGCTTTTTCTTCTGTGATGCCACCCTCCCCCCAAAGCAACAACTGTAGGGTGTGTCTGTTTGTGTGTGTGTGTGTTTTAAGGAACTCTAAAGAAATATCCCATCAGCCCCATCTAAGGGTAAAGTAACTCCCTTTCTGCCACTGCCCCCTATGGATTGCTTTGCAAAATTCTTTTGAACTAAATCTAAAACTACTGTTGAGTCCTGGGCACCTGCTCTGATTCCTCAATCCATTTGTACATCTGGGATTTCTTGGCAGTTTCCCTCCAGGCCCAACCCTGCTCACCTTTTGTAACTGAGGCACAATTGGCTGGTCTCTTTTGTAGAGAATGAAAAAGACCAGTGCTTTGTCCCCTGAGAAATCAAACATCTAAAAGCAACCCCTGAAAAATCAGCACCACTTGAGTGATATCGTGATTGCCTATCCCCTGTGCAGCATCATTTGCAGAGGAGGTAAAAAAATAGTCAAGATGGCAGTCATAACTGAATGAGCCATCCCCCTTAGTATTTCATATGATGTAACTGCATAGACAAAAAAGTAGGGTTTGGATTGCACAATCACAGATGTCATCTTGACTTGCTTGACTTCCCCCATATTGGCCCCTGCTCCTGTGCCCCTTGATTGAACCCCCAAAAAAGCATTCTTATTGAAGTACAACTAATGACCATAACATGATTCAGTACTCCTACATGCCCCTTTTAATGCATTTTCTTTCTTTCTTTCTTTCTTTCTTCCTTTCTTTCTTTCTTTCTTTCTTTCTTTCTTTCTTTCTTTCTTTTTCTATTTATTTATTTATATCCTGTCTTTATTACTTATAAGTAACTCGAGGCAGTTACTTATAAGTGCTCTTTCCCCCTCCTATTTTCCCCACAACAACAACCCTGTCAGATGGGTCAGGCTGAGAGAGATAGTGACCGGTCAAAGGTCACCCATCTGGTTTTCATGGATAAGGCAAGACTAGAAATCACAGTCTCCTAGTTTCTGTATCCTAGCATCTTAACCACTACATGCACCAAACTGTTTCTCCACAAGTATCTCCACATTAGAATTTTTACCTGTTATCTTTTAGCTATAGAACTAAAGAACTTGGAGAAGTGTAAAAAGCAAATTATTACTATATTTAGAACTGCTTATTCCTATATGATTTGGTTGTTTCACTGTGTTGAAAGGAAAATCAGGTCCAGTTCCAATCCGGGAGTAAGATGCTGGAAATAAAATGGAAGCTGCTTAGGAAAGAAGGTTTCTGTTTATTGATGGGAAAAACCAGCAACAGCATGCAGTTCTGAGATAGCTGACAAATTGATTTGATGAGTACAAGGATTTTTATACAGTTTTACAGCATTTCATTATTTGAAGGCTTGCTTTGTTTGCTTTTGTTATTAGATTTGTTTAGCTTGTTTCGCAAAGGATAGCAATGGGTCTAAAGTACTGACTTCCTTAGGTTTTAATCCTGTCAACCAAATGAATTAATTTTACCCCCTTATCTTTAGTCTGTCTATTATATCTCTTTGTGAATCAACAGGCTTGATGTATTGTTTCCACTTTTTGCAATAGCCAGGGGTTTTATGAATAAATATTGTTTCTGTATTTCTTTTCCTGAGTTTTATTTCCTGAGTTTTATTCTTGTGATTTGGGAGGGGCATGGTAAAAAGGAGGTGTGTATGTGTTCTTACTACAACTGTAACAATTGATGCAGAGTATTTTTTTCCTCATTCCTCAGTAGAGTAGGATAATGGGAGAGTAGGAAACAAATTGAGAAAGAATGGCTCAAAGAAGCCACGATTGTCTCTTGCCTTGAGAGACAGAAAGAGAGAGAGAGAAGCTATAAATTAAACTAGTCCCATACTTACTTCTCTTTTATTAAAAGAATAAAAAAGTAGATTAAAAAATCCAGTTAGAAGCATACAATTTGATTAAAATATAGGAAGCTTACTGGTGTTAATTAAATCTCGCCTGAGGAGAATTCACAAATTCAATACATGCAGAAGTAGAAAAGATTGATAAATAACATAATTAAAGCTGCTGATTTACAGTAATTATAAATGTTTTTGTTAGGCAATAAACCATGGATGTTTTAATACAGTTATAGATAGTGCTTTTTTTCTTAAAAAAAAAAGAAAAGGTGCCAGAAGTCACACACAGGTCCAGCTCCAGTCGAAAGCCCTTTATGGGGGGAGCGCTTTAGGGAGCTTCCGAGGTGCAGATCACGTGAGCAGCATCAGCTGATGGATGCCATTACCGCGGCTTTTGAGAGGGCGCTTGTTTGGAGCTGGCATGTCTTCTGCCACCTTGTCCCCCTCCCCCTCTGATGACACAGAGGCTTTATCCGGAGCCAGAGTGACCAAGGCGGTGGCGGTGCTGCTGCTTTGGGAGTGCACCTGGACCCTCTAAGAGATTCACTCCAGGAATCAGTCCTGGTCCCTGGTGGCCAACACGAGGGTGAGGACAGGTGGCGGCAGTGGGAGGAACCCCATGAACCAAGGCAGAGAAGAGGGTCTGCTTTCAGGGCTCTGGAAGTGTTTCCAGGTTGACCTTTGATGCCCCCAATTTCCCTGGGCAGCTTTCTTTCACCGAGCCAAAGCTTTACTCGCACTGGCAGCTTAGAAGGAGCCAGTTCTTTCCTTCAAAAGAAGGTGACGGAACACCGTTCCATGCATTCTATGACAAAAAAAGCACTGGTTATAGAAGTCATCTTTGCTCTCTTTGTTTAGCAGATATGATTTGTATCCTCCCGGACTAAATAAATGAATAACATTCTCTCATAATCTCAGTCTCATAGAATGTCTTGAAAATTTACTTAGACCAAGCAAGACTGCAGACAGGAAAGACAAAGAGAACAGGATCGGTGCCAGCTGGAAAAAGCAACAACATTCAATACAAGATAGTTTTCATTTAACATCCACTCATTCAGTGATTGAAATTACAATGGCAGTAAAGGAGAGGCACTTATGATGGGTCCTTGTGGTTTTGGCCATCACAGCATCCCTGTGGTGACAAGATTGCAAATTTGGTGTTTGGAAACCAGCTTGTGGTTAGGATCTTGCAGTATCCCCTAGTCACATATCACCATTTGTGACTTTCTCTGCTGGTTTCCAACAAGCAAAATCAATGCGGAAGGAGGAGGTAGGAGATTACAAATGATTATTAGGTGACTATGGACGCCTCGAATGTGCAGGATTCACCTAACAGGGGCAACAGGGACTGCTGGAACTGCCATCTTAAGCCAGCACAGCCACATGATGTCATGTCTTATGACCACGTTGCTTAGCAACACAGCTTCCAGTCCCAATTACTGTCAGTAAACAAGGACTATATATATTGCGGTCCAGTCCAACTGTTGCTTGTCATTAGTTATACTATCTTGGATTGTTTTATAACTTGCATTGAAAAAAGACTGCAAATGAAATATGTATGAGCTTATATATAGTACAAACAATTTCTACAAGTCAAGCATATAATGAACATCTTTCTGATAAAATACTGTGATGTGAAAGATTGGAGTGGGTTCCAGAAAGGCTGACAACCAGCAAAGGCAATCTCTTCAATGGATGGGAAAAATTATGCTTTCCAAACATATTTTTTCTTTATTTTGTTTGTGTATAACATCCAAGGCTAATGAGCTGCACCACATTTTAATTAAACTTCTGACAGTTGTGTTCCAACTGTTCTTAATTTCATTTTCTTTTTGAGTCAAATTTTTTTAGCATATCTGATCTTGCAGCTACAATGAAAGATTTTGGGAAACCTGGCTCAAAAACAGTAACTGTGAGAGGGACTTTGGAGTTCTAATGGATGATCACTTAAACTTGAGTCAGCAGTATGTGGTGGCAGCACTCAAAAACGCTAATACAATCCTTGGTTGTATAAACAGAGGCATAGAATTAAAATCATGTGAAGTATTAGTACTACTTTATAAAGCCTTAATAAGGCCACACCTGGAATACTGCATCCAGTTTTGGTTATCACAATACAAAAAAAAATGTTGAGACTTTGGACAAAGTTCAGAGAAGAGCAACTAAGATGATTAAAGGCCTGGAGACTAAAACATAGGAAGAACGGTTGCAGGATTTGCATATGGCTAGTCTAAGGAAATGGAGGACTAAGGGGGACATGATATCAGTATACCAGTATTTAAGAGGCTGCCACAAAGAGGAGGGGATCAACTTATTTTCCAAAGCATCAGAAGGCAGGACAAGAAACAATGGATGGAAACTAATCAAGGAGAGAAGCAACCTGGAATTAAGGAGAAACTTCCTAACTGTAAGGACAATTAACCAATGGAACAACTTGCCTTCAGAAGTTGTGGGTGCTTCACCACTGGAGGTTTTTGAAAGGAGACTGGACAGCCACTTGTCTGAAATAGTATAGGGTCCCCTACATGAGCAGGGGGTTGGACTAGAAGAACTCTAAGGTCCCTTCCAGCTCTATTCTTACAGACTGACTGACAGATTGATTGTAAAGCTAAAATGTTTGTAACAAACTACCACTGCATCATTGTCTTTATCTAAAATGCTGAAGAACTATAAAGACTTAGAGCAGGGGTATCAAAGTGCCGGCCCACGGGCCGGATGTGTCATGCCGAAACCTCGCCCACTCCATTGCCAGCAATGGAAAAAAAGTTGCTATACATCGCAACACGTCACGTGACATTGTGAGTTTGACACCCCTGACCTAGAGGAAACTACTTTGATCTAGATAGCTTTTCCCAATATTGGGTCCCTGTCAGCTTTTAAACTGCAAAGCCCAACTTTCCCAGACCAATACTCATGGATTATGGGAGTTCTCTTCCAAAAACAGCTGATGATGAAAGGCTGGGAAAAGGCCTAGAAGATGGACCTGTAATGTAAGCAATAATAATGCAGCTCTGTAGATATGTTTGGCATTTTCAGAGGTTATATGTACAACTGAAATCAGACCAAAAAACTCTTCTGCGTGATCTACTAGACAGGGTTGGAGAAGCTTCTGCAAACAACCTAGAAGTCATGAAGAAGTGACACTATGGTTAACCTATCCACTGAAAAGGCAGCATGAACATGTATTTTCTTACTTTAAGGAAAAGTAACAATACTTTGTTTTAAATTTCAGAATTGGGAGAAGAATAACACAGACATACTCCCTTTGGCTTGCTAAACCTTCTTCCTTGCAGCATGCTGAGGCAGGTTTTATACATTTATTGCAGATATGCTTAAAGTCAATAGGACAATACAAACAAAGGTGAGAAAACCATAGAAATGTGAAGTTGCTGGATGAGGGTCATTTGATAACATAGGATTAAATACTATCAGCATAAGTCTCTGCCCTTGGCTAACCAAATTCCGTCAATCATCAGATCTAACACTTTTCCTCAGAAGAAACTCAAAGACCTTCAGACTCTTTTCAGAATGTACCTAAAATGTATGGCTCTGTAGGATTAAAGAACCACAGAATTGAAAAGCTAGATAGGAAGCCATGCCCATCAGGGAACAATAGCCCTAATCATATTTACACAAGACTAGCTCCTTAATTAGATATTAGCACACAGGGGACAGAGATTGCAATCTGATTTTGAACACAATTAATTTGAGCATCATTAAGGAGAGCTGACATGGACGGATGAAATCTATGGGGTTTTCCTGTTCTTCATAAAAATAAAAGATTTAAGTACCGAAGGGATCCACTTTGCACAGCGGAAATATATTCCTGACCAGGCTTGCCTATTAAAACCCTTCTTATATTTTTGGTTCTTGAGGTATTGAGAGTGTTGGATTGAATAAGATTCTCCTACATTACTTAGAAGGAGACAACTTGGCATCCATACAATGTTTTGGATTTCAGTCCCCATCAGGGATGATTCCAGAAAAAAATTACTTGATGCTGTCAAGAGATTTTATATATATATATAAAACAATGGATTTGTTCAATTTATTAAATGCAAATACTGAGTAGCAAGTGCTAATCCTTATTGCTCTTGCAGTCATCCTTGAATGCCCTCTGACTTAGCAGCTGTAGCTAATGGTAGTGGACTATGGGAGTTGTAACTCATAAACTCAACACTTTGTTTCTCCCTAGCTAGCCCTTGGAATCTGCCCTCACTAATACAAAGAACAATTTTTCAGAACAGCTGAAAAATTATTCTGGCAAACCAGTTATTTAGAATATCAGAAGCAAGAAGTTTTATTTTTCCAATAACAAAAAAGAAGAGAATGCGCTTATAATTTAGGCACATTAAGAAGCTTTAACAAGCTTCTGCACCTTCTGTTATGTCATGCAAAGCCAAGCAATTGATTAGATAATTAATGAGCAATTCACCATCAGGGAAATGTAGCTGATTCACTCATTTTGCACTGAGATGTGAAACTGGCCTCAGTCCAATATTGTTTCATGTCAGATTAAAAGTCCTTTCTTTTCCTGAAGGAATATATTGTATAGAGGAGTATTCAAGTCATGTAAGCCTCTTTTCTTTGCATCCTGAAACTGTCATCAAAATACTGTTATTTCAGGATAAACTTAGATTTCAAAATACAAAGCAACTTAAACTGAGTTTCTTTACTGATGTGATTGTATTTGTGTATCTGCATGCAGATTTTGCTGCTTGCTCATTTATGTACTAGGTCATTTATGTGTAGTTTCTACCAAATTGCACGTAGCTTCTGCAATTTGTATCTCTTATCCATATACTGGAAAATAGCACATCATTGCTTTCAATTTCCTTCAGTGCAGAATATGTTAATCATACTTTTTTTGACAGACTTTACCCGCCACATTTTGCCTGGAATTCTATGGCTGTTAAGGGAATCTAGCTTCTCCATTGACATTGCTTGTCAGAAGTCACAAAAACAGATCCCATGGGCACACCGCAACCGTCATAAATATGAAACAGTTGCCAAGCGTCTGAATTTTGATCATGTGGGTCAATGGTCACAAGTGTGAAAAACTTATTTCATAAATCACTTTTTTCAGGTAACTTTGAACAGTCACTAAATAAACTGTTGTAAGTCAAGGATTACCTATAAAACACTGTCCTGAGTAGGCAAGACAGGCTCTTCTGCCATATCCCTTCTGGAAATTCCTGGAGCAGAATGCTGTATTCTTCTCTCTTTCTCAGCAACAGCCACCATTGTCCTGTCACTCATTTGATGCTTTTCTGTGACCAATAGCAATTGTTAACAAAGTCAATAATGGGATGAACAAAGAGGGAGCAAACAGTTGGTAGTGATAGCAGGTAGAGAACAGTTGCAGTAAGGAGAAGGAAGGAAGGAAGGAAGGAAGGAAGGAAGGAAGGAAGGAAGGAAGGAAGGAAGGAAGGAGAGAGGAGAAGAGAGGAAAGGAAAGGAAAGGAAAGGAAAGGAAAGGAAAGGAAAGGAAAGGAAAGGAAAGGAAAGGAAAGGAAAGGAAGACATAACTCATGGTCTCTGGTTGGATTTAAGTGTTTTCACAGATTGTGCATTTTGTTGCCACTAAAGTTCTTAGAATGCTTTTGAAGAATAATTGTTACCTTGAATGTACACTAATCAGCATACAGTAAAGTGAAATTTCATTGCATACAGCTCTCAAAGGGTCACCACCTCCAATATACACTACATAAAGATGACAAAAATAAATAAATAAATAAATACAGAATTATGCATACTGTATATCCACAAATATTATATGACACAGAGAAACAACAGTCTAGTTTGAGTTATGTATATATGTGCATGGCGAGAAAAACGAATCTTGCGAGTTGACCAGATGGGTGGCATAGGGCAGGGCTTTTCAACCTTTTCACCCATTGTACCACTTTTAGGATATGGCAATATCCAAGTACCACCAGTCGCCTAGCAAGGTGTCAAAAACTTGATGATCAAAAAAAAAAAAAGGAAAAAAGTGATGAAGTACAGGTAGTCCTTGACTTACAACAGTTCGCTTAGTGACTGTTCAAAGTTACAATGGCACTGAAAAAAGTGCCCCCCAAGCCACAGTCAAGCAAGACATCTGCCTGCCCACCCGGCAATGCTCTTCCTCCTGTCTGAGGTTTTCATTGTTGTGAGCATTTCTGTTGAGGATTGGCAGCGGGGGGGGGTTGGTTTTTATTCCCCCCATCTGCTGGGTGGTTGCAGCAGGTTTTGGTAACTTCACATGACTCTGGGACACTGTGACCATCATAAATATGAATCAGTTGCCAAGCATCTGAATGTAAATCACAAGACCCTGCAGATGTTGCAACATTCCAGCTGATCTGCACTTCTTCTGGGCTCAGCAGAAGCGCCAGAATCAGCACCGAGCTCCAGCTGGAGCCTGGTGCTGATCCTGATGCTTCCACTGAGCCCTGACAGTCTCGAAGAAGTGCTGAACCTGGCACTTCTGCGGAGCCCTGACAGCCCTGCAGCTCCAGCCATCTCTCGCTCAGGCTTGTCCAGTGCTGCCACCAGTTCAACTCATTCCCCTCCCCCAGTACCACTCTTCTGGGATGGTTGCATACCACCTGCCAGGTGCCAATGTACCATAGGTGGTACCTGTATCACTGGTTGAAAAGCCCTGGCATAGGGAACAAAGCTATTACAGAATTGGGTAGTCCTGCTAGAAATACTTTGAAACCTCCTCCCAGAGGGGACAACAGAAACAGATCATAAAGTGGGCGTGTGGGGTCTCTAACAATGCTTTGAGCTCTAAGCACATAGCGCTTATAAGCATCATCCTGAATATCAGAAAGCAAGCTTCCTATGATCTTCTCGGCTGTCCTTACCAGTCTCTGTATGGACTTTCTATCTGAGGCACTGCTGCCACCAAACCAGACAGTGATGCAGTTTGTTAAAATGCTTTCAATCGTACCTCTGTAAAAAGGGGCCAGGACAGAAGGAGAAAGATGTACTCTCCTCATCTGATGCAGAAAATGCAGACGCTGGCTTGCACGCTTCACTAAGGATGATGTGTGGAGAGACCAATTCAGATTGTATCCCCACTGTAAACACAAGAGGTGAACAATTCAGGCAAAGCCTATATTTTTCAAAACAGAGCAACACGATATCAGGATGATTGAATGTACACAAAGAACTGGAAGCTAGCTAGTTATGTGCTAGGATTGTATTTAGTTTCAGATCTCGAATGCTTATTTGAGAAAGATAGATATGAGTTGTATTTGTTTCATGTCTGTATCTAATAATTCTATCCTCCTGTGAAATTCATATGCTACCTGTCTGAAAGATAAGAATCTCTTTTTGGTGATGGAAAGATGCTTGTAGACTCGGGTTTGAACAATCTAAAAATGCAGAGTCAAAGAAAAGCCCACTCAAAAAACAAAGAAAACAAAACAAAAAGCAGCCCATGAATCTAGTGAAATGAAAAGAATCAACTGATGCAATCAATACAGGCTATTCCCTGGATATTCCTAGAGATCCAGCATGGACAGCCCATTATCTGTTTCTGTTGCTCCTAAAATCACTCAAGTTGTACAGTGTAACTTTCTACTGTGATCAGGAAGAAGGAGAAGCTAAAAGAAAGGACTGAAAAGAGAGAAGTGAAAACACCAGGAATGCCCAGTGATTGATGTCATCCTGTCACTACCTTACCCATTGCTTTCTCCTGTCCACCTCTCAAAATGCAAGAACTTCCAACTGCCAAAATATTGCCCATCTCTGCTACACTCTAAACATATATATGTAAGTTGGACAATAGGTATCAATATAATTATTTCTGCTCCTCTGGATCATTATATTCCAATGCAAGCAGAGATAGGATACAGTCAGATTTTATTTACTGCAATGGGCTTTGGCCCAAATCCCTCTGGACTTCATTAAGTGAAGTGACCCCAACAATAGTGATGGTCCCAAAGGAATGTGAACAAATTGATCCAATTCACTTTAGATGTCAACTATATTTCAGGTCCTGACAGCTGGTGCCAAAGCTTCTATCACTTTCCTGTGGTACTTTGATGAATGAAGACTGTATAGTTGCTCAGGATTTCACCCGCATCCCTCCATCTCAGTTTCCTGTCTCATACTTCCAAGCAGATGGGCCTCAATTAGAGCAGCTGCCAAAATGAATGTGCTCTTAAATCACTTAGTGTTTCTCTGAACAGAATGCAAGGTAACCTGTCTTGTCACTCAAGATGATGGAAGATGCAGCTTCTCCCAAAAGCTGTTGACCAAGAACCTGTCACAGTTTTTCTGCTACAGTACTATTATTGTTGAACAGTGCCAAACATTACACTAACTTCTGCTAGTGACAACAGACACAATCAAAAAGCTTTACAGAGACCACAAATATTTTAATGTTTAAATATGAGAAAGACCAATATCATTTTTTATACATTTAGGTATTTGCAGTATTTATTTACAATATATGGATATTTGTGCTTCATTCCCAAAGAACGTTAAAGAGGCAAATTTTCACAGAGAAGTCAAAGTAGCAAATTTTAGTCTTCCCCCAAAAGATATCTGGGTGAAGGGCAGCTGGGAGTTACAATATTTTCTAAATTGTTTAATTGTTGCTGAGGGCACATGAACTTTCCAAGAAGCACAGATACTGTAGGACCAGACAAGCCTTTATGTTGCAAAAAGTCTGGTCCTATAGTGTTAGGTGGATTTTGTAGAAAGTAAAGAAAGATAGAAGACACCTCTTTGCCCCCTCTTATATTCAAGAAATAAATGTAATAACCCCACCATTGCTATTACCTCCTTTTGTAAGCTCCCTACAGTTCAGTCATAGGAACCGATTATGAATTTTGAATGACAAATCTGGGGAAAATGTATGATTTTCCTCCTCAAAAATCAGTTGATTGCATCAATCTCTTTTTTCATTATTTTCATATTCACTTCTTGCTTTATACGGCTCTGTAGAAAATCAAGATTGTATTGTACTTGCTGCAGAGAGCTTCTGCAGATACATGAAAACACCCTCTCTTGATGCATAAAATTCAACCTTAGCATAAAGGAGGTGATGGAGGAAAGTTAGAGATAGAATATTCATTTATACAATCTGTCTAAGAATTTATTTCTTGTTTCAAATAAGAATACTTACCCAGGTCTCTAGTTTCCTGAAACAGTGTGATGCAATGTCTATGGAGATTCTCCATCATCCAGGTCATGGATGTCCCAAAGGTGTTTTTCCAAAAGGCAACTGGACATTCTTGGTTTTTTTTCCCCTTGAAAACACTTCTTCCAGGATGAGAAGCAAAATGTTTTCAAGGAAAACAAAACCAAGAAATTCCAGTTGTCTTTTGGAAAAGCACCTTTGGGACAGTGTGAGGCAACGTATAATTGAGTATTTTGCCAGATGTACATTGCCAATCTAGCCAGACTAAACTTTGTGATGATATCTAGCCACGTGTCTTAGCCCTGTTTGTATATCCCTAGGAAATTCTTAAACTTTTGGCCTGGACCTTGGTTATTGCTCATCAAAAGAGACCATCCCTTTTTGGGACAATCTTGATATATTACAAGATCAGCTTTCCCCAAATACATCTTTGACCTTTGTTTTTAATGAATGAATAATAGAAAATATGCCTTCAGGGGGGTTCCCATCTATGCTTTGAACTTTTCCTTTTCTGAAGTGAATTGTTAAATACAGTTCTCCAGTGCTGTCAAATATATTGCTGTTAAACTTTGTCAGTAGGTTATGGAAATCAAATATTTAAAGGGAACACAGCAAATATCAAGGGAATAGTTAGCCTCAAAATTAACAGAATGAAATTTTGAGTACGGTATTAATTTCATACCACTCGTCTCAATTATATTTCTTAAAGCTGCAGAAAATGAGTGTAGACACACATCAGTTCAGATATTTTAATTTATTTTCCTAAAGGTTGGTTAAATAACATCCTTTGAAGATTAGTATTTTAATGAGTATACATATATGCTCTTGAATCTGGTAGAACAGAAAACTGTAGTATAGTTGGATATAAATTTCATTGTATGTCCTTAGTAAAACATCAAAATTATTCAGTGTGATGAATGGTCACGTAACGGAAGCCAAAATGTTAATGAGAATTAAACTCAGTGGTAGCGAAGTAGTTCCCTGTCTTCATGTAAAAAAAAAAAAAGTAAATATAATAGCAATCACATAAGTAATACACTTATTTCTAGACATTTCACTTGGCTTTCAATCATTTTAGTTATGCAATATTAATAAACTAAAATCATACCTGGGATTGCAATTTTAAATTCTGACAAATATTAAAATTGGGAACTTTTCAGTATGTTTTAAAGACTTAGCTAACTATGAAATATACATTAATGCATGGATTGTCTTTCATATCTACTGCAGCAATTATTTTTTCCTTAGGCCACCAAATGCTTCAGGAATTGTACAAAGTGGATACTAAGGTGATAATTTCCTATATTTTCTTAGCTGCTTATTTTTAAAGGATAGTATCATAGTATCCAGAGTAGCAGAATAAACCAGGCAATGTTTTCCATGTTCTTTAAAAACAGAACAAAGCCTTGTTCACCTATAGAACACCAATTGCTCAGAATCCTTTGGTGAGATGGGCAGTTTTATATATGTTAGATAAATGCATAATAAATATACATAATAAATAGAATTACTGTATAGATAGGACCTTGGAAGTCTATAAAGACCTAAGGCAAGAGTCTTTATATCATCCTGGACAAGACAGAGATATGGACATAGATAGATAGATAGATAGATAGATAGATAGATAGATAGATAGATAGATAGATAGATAGATAGATAGATAGATAGATAGATAGATAGATAGATAGGCATGCAGGCAGATACAATCCAAGTCTTAGCAGCAATTTCTGTAATATTGAAAATATGGCAGATGGAGTATTGTGATACATCCCTTTTGAACCGATCTGCAATATTAACTGATACTGTATACAAAAAGGGCAAAGTTTGGGTTATGATGCTCCATCGTCTTACCAGCTGTGATCTTGTCCCATGACTGATGCTTCCTAGAATGCCTTAAGAACTCAGTGTGACATCACATTGTTTTCAAGGCGATTGGGGAAGTTTGAGTTCATGTTTCATCCTAATAACAATAATAGTAAAATTGGAAAGGACCTTGGAGGTCATCTAGTCCAACCCCCTGCTCAGGCAGGAAACCCTATACCATTTCAGACAGATGGCTGTCCAGTCTCTTCTTAAAAACCTCCAGTATTGGAGCATTCACTGCTTCTGGAGGCTGGTTGTTCCACTGGTTAATTGTTCTGTCAGGAAATTTCTCCTTAGTTCTAGGTTGCTTCCCTCCTTGCTTAGTTTCCACCCGTTGCTTCTTGTCCTGCCTTCAGGCGCCTTGGAAAATAGCTTGACACCGTCTTCTTTGTGGCAACCCCTGAGATATTGGAACCCTGCTATTATGTCTCCCCTTGTCCTTCTCTTCATCTTCCTATTAAATTCATTTCTCAATATGACTTCTGAGTAAAGTGTTATGTAATCCAGGACCAACTACTTTGTCTAACTAAAGGCCGAGATTTAAACCCAAAGATATTAGGGTTTCTTGAATGGTTCATGTGAAGGTACTTTGCTTTCCAAGGACTGGACAGAACCGCAGCGTACAAATCTGTTCATCATGCTATATTGCAGCACACCTAGTTCCCCAACAGCAAGTTGTTGCTCTGGGTCAGCTTCACCTGTCTAGTCTTTTCAAAGTGATATGGCCACATAGCTATATCTTTAATACTCCATGTTTTATATTCTATTCAAACAACAGTCTTAAAATCTTAAAGTAACTTTTGTCTGTCTCCAAATGTTCTTTCACTAGTCAGAATGAAGTCCTGTTTCTGTGTGGTTTTTCCTCATCTAATTGCTACTGGGCTCCTAGCAAAGCTCCAAGGTCTATGCAAGTCTCCCAGCAGGATATGCTGCTTACCGTAACTTATAGTCCTGACAGTTGAATGAAATTCCTCTGGCATGCTTATAATAGCTGCCAATCTGCAGGTGCCATCTCTGCTTCCTTGTCTGTAGGCTGTTTGCTTTCGCCTTTCACCCACCTCTCTTCCCACTCTCATTGGATTTGCTTTTGTAAACTCAAAAGACTGGTGGGATGAAGCTGCTTTTAGATATCAGCACCAGGGTCTTTGAAAACACCAGATTATGGCTCAATTAGCCAGATAGTTGCAACACCAGCTTGAATACCTGTGGGGTACAATTCTGAAGGAATGGATGAATGTCTGAGGGAAGTGAGGATGGGTAGGAGAAGAGGTGGCAGGATCTGGGGGCAGACTTAAAAGAGAGATCAGCCTAGAATCCCTATATAGCCACAAGGTGACAAAGTCCAACCCCCCCCCACATGAATTCCATAGACCAGGGATCCCCAACCCCTGGTCCATGGACCGGTACCAGGCCGCAGCATGCTAGCACTGGTCTGCACAAACAAGCAAAGCCCCATCCATGGGATGCAGGCAGCACACAAAACCACACACTCTCTGGTCTGCGGAAAAAACCTTTCTCCATGGAACCAGCTTCTGGTGCCCAAAAGGTTGGGGACCTCTGCCATAGACCCTTATCTAACTCTAAGCAGTTGCTAACCATTGGTTGAGAATATCCTTATACATAGGCATGAGTAGCAATAAATTAATTTAAATGAATCTTTATGTATGAACCCGGTCTTTTGCATCTCACGGGGAGCTTGTCTGCATGACTACAATTATTATTGAAAAGAGCAGGGAGCAGCCCCAACTTCATTCCCCTCTCAGTTTGTTTGATAGTGCTTAATCTTTCTGGGAGGACCCCCAATTTGTGGGAGACTGGAACTGTGGCTATGCAAATCATGTGCATATATGTATAAATAATAGTAAGAGGATGCCATATCCCCAGTTACATTTTCTCCCCTGGTTTGAATAAGTCATAGGGAACCCTGATGAGATTTCACATCCATCTGTTACTTTGCTGTCTCCGACTAATTTGCTCCAGATGATTGTAAGCATCACAGGAGTGCCATTCTCCATCATTTAATTCTGCAAGAATTCCTCCCTCTGTTTCTTCTCAAGCATTAATTAGATGAGAAATACTTCAAAGGATTGGTGAAGAAAATCACTGCCTCCCATTTGCAAGGTATTGGATGATTTATATATCTCATTATGTTTGATACAAAAATCCAAACTTTTCCATTTGAGCTACCTTTCTTTGCATGCTTTAGATCAGGGCTTTTCAACCTTTTCATTATTGTACCACTTTTAGGATATGGCAACATTCGAGTACCACCCATCGCCTAGCACAGTGGTTCTCAACCTTTTTAATGCCGCAACCCCCAACCGGTTGTAAGTCGAGGACTACTCAACCGGTCGTAAGTTGAGGACTACCCAACTGGTGCAGCACCGTTTGCAGAATGGGACTTTTGGCGGGCTCAGCAGGGCAGAGACAGCCTGGACAATTCCTATTGGCTTTTGAAAGCCAATAGAATTAGACTCTTTTCAAGAGAGTCTAATTCTATTGGCTTTCAAAAGCCAATAGAATAAAAGAAAGTAGCACAGCTAAGGAAAGGAGGTAAAAAATGGCGGACTGCGTTGTTTGGCGACCCCCATGAAATGGTCGTTCGACCCCAAATGGGGTCTCGACCCACAGGTTGAGAACCATTGGCCTAGCAAGATGTCAAAAACTTGATGATCAAAAAAAAAAGGAAAAAAGTAATAAAGTACAGGTAGTCCTCGACTTACAACAATTTGTTTAGTGACTGTTTGAAGTTACAATGGCACTGAGAAAAGTGCCCCCTAAGCCACAGCTGAGCAAGACACCTTCCTGCCCGCCCAGCGGCATTCTTCCTCCTGTCTGAGGTTTTCATTGTTGTGAGCATTTCTGTTGAGGATTGGCAGCGGGGGTGGGGTGGGGGTGTTTGGTTTTTATTCCTCCCATCTGCTGGGTGGTTGCAGCAGGTTTTGGTCACTTCACATGACCCTGGGACACTGTGACCGTCATAAATATGAATCAGTTGCCAAGCATCTGAATGTAAATCACAAGACCCTGGAGATGCTGCAACATTCCAGTTGATTGGTGCTTCTTCAGGGCTC